CCGGCGGCGAAACCGAAAGCGGCTCCGGCTTTCACTTTCCCTTTCCCGGCACACGCCGGAGGTTCTGGCTGCCCCAAGGACGGGGGGGGGACGGTTCTTAAATTTTTTTTTCTCTGCTCCACTTTTCCCCGCGCAGCAGCGTCAGATATCCGTGTTCAGGAACAAGTGATGTCGTAATTGGCGGTTACAAGATGGGGAGAGCTGGAGCTGGTGCCTCGGGGTGGGACCCCCAAAAAAGGCATCCCCGAGGTTTCAGATCCTCACAATGTGTGCACCCATGTACACCAGTGGTGATTTTAGCCTCTTCCCGTTGTTCACTGGCTCCTGCAGAGGCTCTGGGTGATTGACTCCCACCCCGGGAAGTGCCCTTTGTTAGGCAGAAGGTGGGCGCCCATTCGCGGCTCTTGCCTGGGGCTCCAGCCTCTTCCTGCCGTTCAGAACACAATGTGCAGCTCGCACTGGTAATTTACATACCGAGATACCTGCGCTAGGTGTATTTCTCAACACACGCACCCTGCACTCGTGGGGGGGGGGCAGGCACATTACATCCACGGGAGAGAGAATAAGGCACCAGATGCTTCCCTAAAACTGTCAGGTCTCCCACACTCTCGCCGAAGGGGACAAGGGACTCTACTCCCTTTACTTCCCGCGTTGGGGACCCAGCCGGACACATCCCAGCTCCAGGGACTGCGTCCTCCCATGGAACCAGCTGCTCGCTCCATGGGTGTGGGGAGCTGCAGGGAGCTGCGGGAAGAGCACGGGGTTTCCAGGGTGGTGTGAACGGTCACATGTCACCATCTCTCAAATCTCTCCTCTGCTCTACTGCACACATCTGCCTCGTGGGGCTCTGAATGCCAGGTCGAACGGGAAATGGGTGGGAAGGGTGGATGAGCTGTGCCAAGGGCTGCCGGGACCGGGGTGGGACACATCCTGCACCAGCTCACATTGGCCCCCAGCAGGGCACGGGCTGAGTCACTGGGCCACCCTGAGGTGGTACTGTTGCTGGTTCCTCTATCACTGCTGCAGAGCTTCATGTGGCTGTGCAGGGAAACCCTGCTCCTCTGCCCGGCTGCTGCCCCCCAAGTCTCCTTTTGCAGTCACCCAGGTCTCCTTTCCTGCTCTGAGTCAGAGAAAGTCACCTCCGGCCGAGAGGAGGAGTGAAGTTCCTGAGAGCTACTGGGGCTGCAAAGTCTCCAAATGAATAATGCGTGGCAGAGAGCCCAGTGCTGGGCTTTCCCAGAGGATGTGAGGACAGGGCACAGCCACGTGGCGCAGAGGGCACATGGGGCCACGTGGGGTGTGCGAGCGAGCCCCACTGGCAGGCTTTTCTCTCCTTTCTGAGCCTGCCCGCGACCCCTTTGTGGCAATGCGAAGCCCAGGCACCACCTGTGCCCTCCCTCTGGGCGAGCTGTGGGGCCACGTTCTGGGAAAAGGGCCTGGGAACTGAGGGACAGAGAATCCACATCCTCCCCTCTGTGCCTTGGGAAGCAGCGCAGCGGCAAGGAGTCACTGCGCGGCCTGATTACATCCAAGGCCGGCAGATAATCGCAGCCGCCGGCTCGTTTGTCAGCCCAGCCCGCCGGGATCAGTTTTATCGGCGGGGATTTCATGTGCTGTGGCAGCCGCCCGCTGACGCAGGACCCGCGGGATCCAATTACCCGGGCATCAGCGGGGAGCTCAGGGGCCACATTCCCCACTGTGTATTCCTCACCCAGCTTCTCCCTTCCTGGGGAAGGTGAAGCTGCTTAACCCTTAAACTTTTCATGCCCAAATGAGCTTCAAAAGGCAGTCAAACATTAACTCGTAGCTAACCCTGCCCTTGCCCGGGTTTTTCCAAGCTGTGTAAATCACATCTGCCAAAATAAATACATTCTGCTGTGCTGTGGAGCTGGGCTGGAGAGCCCTGTGGGGTTTACAGTGGGAACAGGGGAATCTCTGGGTGCAAACACCTTGGCATAAGGTGTCCCAGTGTGAGAGGGTGCAGCTGTGCATGGGGCATGCATCCATCCCAGATGTGCATGGGGCACGCATCCATCCCAGATGTGTGATCCCCAGGAGACAGAGCTTCAAGGTTCCTTCCAGCTGCCAGCATCTGCCTGCTCAGCTGGGGGCTGCCTTGGGGTGACCCAGGCAGACTGGGAGCTCCACCAGGGGTTCATCATCCTTCACTGCTCCTGCACCATCTGCCATGGGGTCCCACTCTCCTTCCAGTTCCTTGCAGGCTCCTCTACCCATTCCCTCGGCCCCAGGCCAGGCTGTCCAGCACCCTTTGACCTCCTCAGCCTGAAGACTCCTGGATGGACCTTGTGCTCCTGGATCCAGTGAGTGGAGAGGCTAAAGTGAAACAGGCTCCAGGTGAGCTCCCATGTGCTGCTCCCAGCCTCTCCTGGAGCAGAGCTTGTCCCCTGAGAGCCCTGCCCTGGCACTCACATTTCTGGCCTCCCTTGTCACCTTCCCACAAGGCAGCACGGTGAGCCCTGTCCTGGCATGCCAGTGTCCCCAGCCCATTCTGGAGAGTGTCCAGCAGCAGCTCCAGACTGGTCCCCTGCTGGGACCTTCCCCCTTGGCATCCCCGTTTCAACCTGGCCATCACAGGAGAGTCAGACCACAGAGAAGGGTATTTATTACTGGGGAACATATAAAGTCTTTAAGCAAAATGGCTTAAGGCTCTGCTCTAGTGAGGTCTGGCCAGGTTAAATGCTTGGTTCCCACCTGTTACAGATTGTGCCCTGGGATAGGTGGGAATGGGGTGCGATGGATTCCTAAAGCTACAGTGCTTGCTCAGGGCTTGTGCTTGGCCAGTCTGGAGCTGGACCCTTGCCTGGAAGCCTGTGTGGTGGCATTACCTGCTGGCACACTGGTGTGTCCCTGCTCTGCAGCCACCGGGACGCTGGGAGCTTGTGCTGCTGGTGGGAAAAATGCTCTGAGGGGAGCACCGGCTCTCCTGTGCACCCTGAGGCCATGCAGTGGGTACCCAAGTGCTAAAGCGGTTGCTGGCAACACCTGGGCACTGGCCTGTGGCAGAAGAGACCCCCTCTGTGTTCTGCCCCAATCAGGAGCCTGCAGTGACCCAGGGACAGAGATCTGTGTCCCCAGCACACTAGATGTGAAGAAGATGAGCCCAGCATGTGCTGCAAAGCCCAACAGCGTCCATGAAACCTGCCCAGAGAGAGGGTGGCACATTCCCACCCCAGAAGAGAAGAAGGAGCTGGGCTTTGTGCAGGTTCCTGCCCAGTGCTCCCTGTCCCACTGTGTTGCATCTCCTTCATCTCTCCCAGGCTGTTGGGTGATGCTCACTGCTCTCCCCTGGCCTGGGTCACTTCAGACAAGCCGGGATGCAGGAGAACGTCCTCTTCACCCGCAGCAGGAAGGGACTTGTGCTCCTCATGTCTCTGGCTCTTGGGACCAGTCCTTGCACAGCTCCCTCTGTCCTGGACGCTCCTTCTCTCCCTGCTGGCAGCAAGGCCTTTATTTCTTCCTCATCATTGAAAGGGGACATCCCATACTTCTGCTTCAGATGCCTGCGGACCTGAAGAAGGAGCGAGAAGTAAAATATAATGCTGGTTTACAAGGGCAGGTCCAGCAAGGGGAGCAGGGAAGAAACCGAGTCCCCTGAGGACTTGTCCTTGCTCTGAGGCCCACGGCAGGCTCAGCCACGGAGCAGGGCACAGGTGGCAGAGGTGAGTCCCACCTTGCGGGCTGCGCTGCCGCTGAACTCGGCCAGCTGCTGCCTGAAGCCGGGGTTGGGGTTGGCCACGGGCCGGATGGTTCGGATGGCATCCAGCACCTCCTGGCAGCTCAGCTCCGTCACAACCATCACGTAGGCAACCACCACCGTGGTGCTGCGGGAGATGCCAGCCAGGCTGGCAGGGGAAAGTGCAGAAGGGCTGGCGTTAGTGGCACACCCTGACCCCATGCTTGCCTCTTCCTCCACCCCTGTGCCTCAGATATTTCAGTTCCTCTTCCCCAAGGACTTGCTCTCCCTGAGGGCTGAGACGTTCCAAGGTCCTGGCCATGAGTGCCTATAAATACCCACTCCTCTACAGGGAATGGGAGCAGCAGCCACTGCCTGGCTGCCTGCCCCAAACCCTGCTCATCCCATGCACTCAGCTGCAGCAAAAAGCTGCCCCGGCTCCAGGACTGCCTGGATCCTGCTGGGTTTGAGTCACAAGCCACAGCCAAGGGTGGATCCTGGGTGGGTCCACTGGCACAGAGCCCTCTGGCACAGGCTGGCTCTGATCTGAAGTGAGGGGCTGGGGGCTGTGTCTGCTGAGCTGGGGGACACAGCAGCAGGCACAGGGGAAGCATTACCAGTGGACGAGGCAGTTCCCTCCATGCAGGCGACACTGATGGATAAAACTGATGCATTCCTTGAAGTGCCTCTTGCTAGCAGGAAAAATAAACCAGACAGAATGACAACTTAAGGGGTGGAACAGCATTTTTAGCTGCAGGCAGAATAGCCCTGTATGTTTGAGTTGTTTTAGGGGATCTGCCAGCCACTGCTGAGACCTGAACAGCTCAGTGCTGTTTATTCCCAAGGAAAGGTAGATTTGCCAGCTCATTCTGTGCTGGGGACACAGAAGGGGACACTGTGCTGGGGATGCACGGGGCTGCCCTGTGACTTGTGTGACTCATGCTGGGCAACGGGACGCTGGCTGCTTGAATCTCCAGCCACGCCTGTGCCCTTGGCTGGCTTCATGCCCTTTATGTGCTCTCCCCTCTCCAGACACTTCCTGGGGTGATGCTTGCTGCCCCTCTCCATGGGTGCTGCGGAGTGGCTGCCCCTCACCTCACCCCAGAGCTCACACCCTCACAGCAGCCATTGAATTGGGATGCTGTTGGGGTCAAGGGAAGCTCCCCTGCACTGTGGCATCACATCTCTAGCCTGTGGGTCATTGTGCTGGAGGAGCTGGAGGGAGTTAGAGCACATGGAAGGCTTGAGAAGCTGTGAGCCCTCATCTCTGGCCACCCTCCCACCTCCCTGCATGTCCCCACCATGCCCAGGGTACTCACATGTTGGCTTCAGGGGTGTCAGGCAGGGGGATGCGGAGGTAGGTGATGTCCTGGAAGCCAGAACAGGAAAAGGAGAAGCTCAGGCACTGCAGCCTGGGTGTCACACATGGTCAGAGCAGGGCTGGCAGCGCCTGTGCTCCTCACCCACAGCTGCCTACAGGGTTTTGCTTCCCCCACACAGCACCCCCCTGCATGGGGATGGGACCACACTCTCCCTGGGGTGAAGGGCAGAGCAAGGGGACACCAGCAGCCCGTGGGAGAGGATGGGTAACAAGAGGAGTCTGGAGAGCTGGAAACTGTTTCCCGTCAGTGTTCAAGGTCGGGTTATAGTCACAAGACAGCCAATTTCCCATGCTGGGGGACTGCCCAGCCCCTCTGGGATCAGGGACCAGGGACCTCTCCTGGTGTATGTGCCATGGGATTCTCAGGGGGGGAAGGAAGATGCAGCATGGAAGGAGCTGCAGGAATCTACAGGGTGACAGCTGGTGCAGGACCCTACCTTCAGCAAGGGCTGGGGGGATTCATGGATCGAAACAATGTGGGTGATCTTGTTCCTGCTTAGCTGCTCCAGGTCTTTGGCATCTGAAGGATAAAACCAGACATCAACATGTATTCATTTCCCACCCTTCTCTTCCCACAGTGCTCCCACTGCGCTACAGCCAGCCAGCACACAGAGCCTTGCTCCAGCAGATCAACTGCATCCCACCCCCACACGCAGCAGTGCAGACATGGGCAAACATGGAAACCTGGAATGCCAATCCCATGATCCCAAAGAGGCCTCTCCCTGATCCCTTCTCCTTGCTTTTCATGCTGGTTGAACCATTCCCACCTGCACAGACACACCCTGGGTCAGCAGGTAGTGTCCCTCCTGCCTGTACTTGTCCCCACTTTGGGAGGAGACGCGCCCTGCCCACACCTCCTTGATCAGACACACACACACAGCACTGGGACTGAGAGAACTGCTTTATCTTGTGAACTATGGGAGTGGAGCTGCAGCAATTTATATCATCTCTGATTTTCTGTAGAAACACCTAAGCAGTGATTTGCTGCTCTCTGGTCTGTTCTCTCTGCAGCTGCATGGACAGAAATGGGGTGTCCTTGGCTCTTTGAGGCAATCCCTGCCTCTCACCAATGCCTCAGCATTCTGGATGTGATCCTGGCCTCTAGTCCAGCACAGCAGTTGTTGCACAGGGAGGGGAGCGTGCTTGTCTTGCTGAGCAGCTTCCAAGTGTCTCCCTTTCATGCCACAACCAGCAGATGCAGCAAGCACGGCCAGAGAGGAGGGGAAACATATCCCCATCTCATTCTTTTGGGTTTCCAAACTTTCACGTGCTGTAAAACCTTGGCTCAGGGATCCAGCCCAGGAAGTGCTAACGGCATGATGTGAATTTTAATAGGAGTGAGTCTCAAGGGAGATGCTCTGCAGGGAAGCTGCTCTGTGTGAGGAGGGAGATGGGGACTCACACACCTGCCACCTTCCCATCCGCCTCAGCAGGCAGTGACAGCAACTGGTGACACTGGAATCAAGGCTTACCAGGGCTGGAAAAGCTTCCAGTTGGAGGAGATGCCTCTGTGAGCTTAATGTTGCAGGCCTAGAATCTTGTCACCCTGGATTGCCTAGCAGAGTGATGAGGAGTGCTTGGATGGCATCAGGCCCAGCCCCAGAGCAGAGGCTGCTCACAGGAACCCCCCTGATGGCAGCTGGGTGTCCTTGTCCCTCTGCTCCCAGCAAGCCACAGCCCCCCCAGCCCAACCCAAAGCGCTCCAAGGGGCAAAGGGAGAACAAAGCTGCCACTCCAGTGACATTTCCTTAGCAATTCACACCAGTGGTTTTAAACTTGTGCAGCACTTACAGCAGGAATTCAGCTGGCAAAGGAGCCATCAGGGAGATAGGAGCATTATAAATACTGGTTTTTCATGGCAGATGCCAACATTTGGCCATTAACTGTCCCCTGACAATGAAAATTCCTTAAAATAGTGACTTGGTGTGAGAAGGGGTGACTGTGACTCTGCCTCTAGGAAATTCCCTCCTGAGCACGGGCAGCCCTCTCTGGCCTCTTCTACAGCAGCAAAACTGGGGAGCATTACCCTGAAGTGCCCCAGTCCTGCTCCCTTGCACCCATGTGGCACCACCAGCTCCTCTGCTCCTGGCAGGGGATCCATATTTCCTCCTTGGCTTCTTTCCCCCATGCATCCCAAGAGCTCAGGGCAGCTGTTAAATAAGGAAACCATGCAGAGGCAGGGGTCTCTGCCTTGCCTTTCCCACAGTGTCTTCACTCCCACTACTGCCAACCCAAACTGGGCGGCAGAGCAGAGCAGGCGGTGGGTGCAGGCAGAGCAGTGGGTGCAGGCAGAGCAGTGGGTGCAGGCAGGATGTCAGGCAGCATCTGCAGGCAGGGAGACACCAGCTCAAGCAAGCCCCTCTCCCCAGCTGGAGAACACCTCTGCAGCAGCTGGGTTTCACTCACCAACGAAGTTCCCAAGGTAGAGGCCAGGAAGGATCTGTGGGACACAAGGGGAAGTGGCAATGTGAGCAGTGACCTTGTGCTGTGATGCCCACTGTGCTGGGACCCATGCTGGGAAGCACTGACCTTGGCTGGAGGGGCCAAAGTTCTGGCATTGACATGACCATCCAGCCCCGGGGCAGGAATGCTGCTGAGGCAGCTGGAGCTGTGCATTCCCAGGGCTGCCACTGCCCTGGCATCCAGGATGTGGCCCTGGCACCTTCAACCACCTGGCATTGCACTCTCATGGGTGCTGGGAGCCAGACACAGCTTTTTTATTGCTCCTCTTGTTTATCATCAATTAGTCCTCCGCTGGGGTTTATTACCTGAGCTCAGCAAGTTGCATACACCTTTGTACAGCCTTGGACTATACCCATGACCTGTGCAAGCCCTGCTGCTCAAGGGATGGAAAAGCAACAGGCACAGAGAAGCTTGTAGGGAATGTAGCTGTCCCCCTCCCAGCCCTGAGCTGTGCTCCCCTCACTCTGCACTGCAGGAAGCCCATTTCTCACAGCTCAGGCACAGATTGCTCTGGACACCATGCTTTCAGCTCATTTCCTCTGGGAAATTCCATTTCTCGTGATGAAAAGATAATTACTTGACAAGGCCTCTGTTAACAGCACTGCAGATGCAGAAGCAGGACACCTTGCAAACCTTGTGAGCCAGAGCTATTTTATATTCCCCCTCACTCCCAGGCTGGGCAGTGAGTTCAATCCTGTATCCAGCCGGTTCTCTGCCAGTTTCTCCCTGCAGCAATATTTGGTGCTCAGGGCAGGTGGAGGTGATTTTCACCAGCACAGCTGGACTCACACTTGTCTCACAGCTCACATTTGGAAACGTTTCTCTCGATTGAACAGCTTAAAGAAAGGTTTGTTGGGTTGTTTTTATTGTGATTCCTGCGATTTTAGATCAATTTCCTATCGACGGGGTGCCTTTAACTCACAGCTGCGGCACTGAGAGGAGCGGGTGGGAGAGCGCCAGTTAGCAAGGGCAGCTCCCAAGGGCAGGACACTGAACCATGAATAAACAGCATGTGCCTGTCCCCAGCACCCTGCTGACCGGCTCCTCACAGGAGAAAACGGGGCAGCACACAAATAAAATAGTGCCCATCCCCTCTGCCCCATGATGCTGAGCCCCACGCACAGCCCAGCCCCGCTGAGCAGGAGGTGCGGGACCACCAGGCTGGGGGTCATACAGGGCTCACAGCGTGCGCTTGGCGCTGGTTCCTTGGGATTAAAGGTGTTGGGAAAAGTTCCCCCTTCCTTGAAGGAACTCGCTGTGACCCCCTTCCCTCCACCTCCCCGAGCAGCTGTCAGCTGTCCCAGCGCAGTGTCCCTGCCTGTTTCATCTCCGGCGTTGCTCTGCCGGCAGATAAACAAACAAACAAACAAACAAATAAAGAGCCGGAGCCGGTGCCGGCAGGTGAAACGCCGCTTGGCAGCCGCCAGGTAAGGGTCCCCACCTCCGGCACCGGCCGAGCCGCCCGGGCATGGCCGAACTGCAGAGCAGCCGCCCCAGCGCTCCCCATGCGTTACCTGGCTCATGCCGTTCCCCATGGCCGACGGCGGGCGCCGGGGGTGGGGACGGGACGCGGCTGTCCTTGTCCCCAACGCTGCCGTCCTCCCCGTGCCCGGGCGCAGCTGCCGTCCCCGCTGCCTGGTCGGGTTTCCGTCATGAAGAGCTTGGCTCCCCCGGGGTCGCTGCTCGCTCCCAGCGCGGCCAGGCCGGGCCGGTGGCTGTGCCGGGCCAGAGGGCACCGCGGCCGCCGTTCTCCGCGGCTGCTGCCGAGGCCCTTCCCCGGCTGCTCCGGCGCTGCCGCGCACCGGCTGCTGCCTGGCCGGGAGCAGACAAAGGAGGAGAAACTCCCCCCCTGCGCCGTGGCGTGGGAGCACGGGGCCGCGCTGGCTGCTGCCTGTCGCCGCTGCCCGCGGCCGCACAAGGCTGCACTGTTGGGAGAAGAACAAAACCTTTGTCCTGCTTCATCAAGGAAGGTCTGTGCGGCCACGCGGCGAAGCGCCCGGCAGGATGCCCACCCCTGCCCACGCCGTGCCCACCCCTGCATGCACCATACCTATCCCTGCCCTGCCCGCAGCGTGCCCACCCCTGCTCGCCCTGTGCCCACCCCTGCCTGCGCCACTCCGCTCCCTGCCCTGTCCGTGCCCACCTGCAGCCAGGTGCCGCAGGATCCCTGCTCTGCCCGGGGAGCTGCAGGAGTGTCCTGGGGACTTCGCAGGGCCGCAGGATGGGCAGTGCCAGCGAGGAGCAGGGCTCGGGGATTCCCCAGCAGCGCCTGTGGCCGGCTGCCCGCAGCGAGGGTCAGCGCGGGGGTCGCGGGGCCGGGACAGGCCGGGGATCAGGCCGGGGCCGCGGTGGCCGTGTGGGGGTGCGGGTGCCCAGAGCGCCCCCTGGCGCTCAACAGCGCCGTTGCCATGGGGACGGGCGCGGGCTCCGGCGGCCTCAGGGGCGGGCGGGGACCGGGGGTCGCGGCCCGGCTCGGAGCGGGGCCCGGAGCGTTCCCGGTGGGCTCCTGGAGGGTTCCCGGCTCTGTGTCCCAACTCCTGCACGTCCTCGGGGCAGCATGTTAAGCCCCATGCGCTCTGTGTGCAGAGGAGGGCAAGGATAGTCGCTGCTCCCCAAGCTTTCCACCGTGTATGGGGAGTATGGCTGGTATCTATGGACAGGTTTGGATGCTACAGGCATAATAGAATTAATTAGGTTGGAAAAGATTTTTGAGATTATGGAGTCCAACCTAGCACTGAACACCACCTCGTCACCCAGACCAGGGCACTGGGTGCTATTCTCAGTCTTAAACACCTCCAGGGACGGTGATTCCAGCATCTCCTGGCCAGCCCATTCCAATGTACAAACACCGACAGCCCTGTCCCCTCCTGGGCACTGTCTCCTGCAGCACAGTGGCTGAGCAGGATGTGATCCCACCAAGGAGCCCTAGCCCTCAGCAGGTGTGGATTTGAGCAGCCTGCTCTAGTGTAAGGTGTGCCTGCCCATGGAAAAGGGGTGGAATGGGAAGAGTTTTTAAGGTCCCTCCCAACCTATGGAGGCTATGACTCTATGGAGGGAGGTTGAGGGTGGTGTGTAATACTGGGTTGACCTGCAGTGCTTCAGCAGTGCTGTGGCTGAACTGCTGCAGGGTCACTGTGGGCAGCTGCCTGCCCTGGAGAGGGGGATGCTGGCGGCACAGGAAAGCTACAGCAGAAATGGTGGAACATGGACTGTAAGACTTGCTCTGTCCTAGCCCCCAGTGTTCATGCAGAGAGACAGAAAATTGACATTGATCCTCTTCCTCCACAAACAAAAAGCAGTTATCAGTAGTATCCATATTTATTTATTTTTCCTCTCAGAATATGTGGTGCAGTTGATCCCCAGAAGCTTCTCAAGGGCAATTAAAGCAAGTCATACTGTGGGAGCATTTGTTATGCTGAATCTTGTATTTTTCTTTCTACCCAGCTGAGTCAGAACAGCTGCTTAGCAAAGGATCTGAAGAGCTTTCAGAAGCAGTTAGAAAGGGAAGCAGGAAAGCCTGAGGCAAGAAAACGTGCCTTTATTCTGAAGACCCTCAAAATGCCTTCAGAGTATTATTTATTTGTGGAAGAATTTTGCAAGAACCCTGGCATCACTTGGGTTATGAAACCGGTAAGTGTGTGCTCTCCCAAGGAAAGTGAGAGATGAATGGGTGCCTTCGTTCTTCAGAGGGAGAGGAAAATATGCAGGAAACCCGCAGGAAGAATTGGGCAGAGCAAGGTAACATGGAGCAGTGCTCCTGGCCAGGTTTCTGATCAACATGTACCACCAAAACACTGCTTCTTGTGTAAGATTTTATTTCAGCAGCCAAAAGCCAGCTCAGTTTATTTGTAGAACCAAAGTTAACTCAGCGGTGAAGGTATAAAGTGCAGAGCTCTGTGTGGAGGAACAGACTGCTCCCAGGGGTTCTGGCTGAGTTCATGCTCTGAAATCTTTCAGTTCAGCTGCAGGTGTGCAAGAAGGTGGAGGTGTGTGGAGGACAGGTGGCTAATTGGGCTTCTGGTTAACGAGCATTAGGGCAGCCCCCAAAGGTGGAACTGTGAAAACAGCTGTTTGGATTTAGGGAAATCCTACTGTGTTAGATGTCAAGTCTGGTGAAAACTTACTGGGTGGAATTCCATCCTGAGACTGTGAAGAGATTACAGGAGGCTCCATTATCACAGAAGCCCAGAATGGTTTAGTTTGGGTTAGAGGGGATCTTAAAGTTCATCTCATTCTACCCCACTGCCATGGGCAGAGACAACTTCCATTAGACAAGGTTGCTCAAAGCCCAGCCCAATCTGGCCTTGAACACTTCCAGGAAGGAAGGGATATCCATTACCAGTCTGGGGTGGAATTGGTTGGCATGAATTTCTCTCTGCCCTGCAGGTAGGGAAGGGCAGCTTTATGCTCTGAGCCATTTTTTCCCCCCAAACCTGGAGCTGTGCTGAACACCACAGCTTCCACTTCAGCCAGTGATCTGGGGATTGAGGAAAAATTGTGTTTCCCTTAGAAATTCTGACAATATAATGTGACACTGAGAAATGCCTTGCCTGTGCCAGAAGATTCAAGCCATTTAACATCCTCAGTGTTGTGTGGTGCATAATTAAAAACACACCCCTGCGAGTGAGCAGTCCCTCTGTTTTGTGCAGCAGGTCTGGTGAGGAGGCTGGGACAGGAGGATTTGTCTTACCCTTGTGAGAAGTGACTGGGAGGTAATTATGCAAACTAACTCGTGAATTACAACCAGGAGGATAGCAGCTAGTGATTATCTAACTCTACAAATGGGAAGTGTTAATTGGCAACAAAACCCTTATATTAAGCTGATTTTCTGCCCCACAACCTCAATTAACATGGTAAATAACCACAACACAGTAAATAAGGATATGTGAAAAGCCTGTGATTAACTGAAATTATACCAACAACTTAAATAGATTGTGGCTGACCTCAAAACTTGCAGGCAAGTGAAAATAAACTCCATGTTGCTCCTTCTGTTGGTCTGTGCTCTGGAGCAGCCCCATGTTGTGATGTCCTGGGTTGCCCATCCCCACACTCAAGAGGCAGCAGTAGGGCAGGATGTGCCCAGTGCCACATCCTGGGGCTGGAGGGAGCTGGACCTGGGCAGCAACGTGGGAGTTTTGCTCCTTGGGGGCCTTATCAGGGCCACTCTTTACCTCTTCTATGCAATGTGCAGCCTAGGCTGGTTTCAGAATTTTTCTGCTCATTTGCCACAGTTCCCCAACACCCTTTTTGTCTTTCCTGTTTAATTAAGTTCTTCTGTAACATACACAAATTTAAAATGGGACTTAAAATTCCCAACAACATATGTTGCGTTACGTGTATTTCTGGAAGCGTGTGACAGAGTTTGTTTATTTGGTGCTGTGGGAGTTCCCCATAGGCTGCCTGCTCTGCCTTTCCTCCAGGAATCCTCCAAACACAAACATGAGGGGGTTTTTGTTGAATCTCCCTGCCCCCATAACCTTAAATAAACATGCTTGCACACGAGCAGCTGATGAATCAGGTTATGCAGGTCTTCTGCAGTGAAGTTCTGGAAAACTGCAGGAAATGCTAACTAAAAGCCACTAAGTCTGCTCTCCCATCTGTAGGTTGGCAAGTCACAAGGTGGGGAATGTTCTTGAAAACTGAAATGTAGAATTGATTGAAGAAGGTGAGAATGACTGTCTTTTCTTTGGGAGTATCCAACAGGCATTTTGTTCTTTTGCTCTTTTTTCATCCTCTCCTTCTGCCATTGCTTGGTCTGTTCTCCCATGCTGCCCTCCTGCCGTATTCCTTCACCATTCTCTAGGCTAACAATAAAGGTTTTTTCAATGGATTTTCCCAAATGGATGGATGCTTCCTTTGGGATCTGATTTTTTTACACTTTGTGTGCATATTTATACATAAACTTGCAATCTCAGGTACATCTAACACTAGGCAGCAACTGGATTTTATTATCATATATATATATAGTGTACACATCTTTTATAATATATTTATACTATACATTCTTTGGGTGATCCTGCACAGGGCCAGGATTTGGACTTAGATCCTTGTAGGTCCCTTTCAACTCAGGATTTTCCAAGATTCCAGGGGGGTAAGAAAAGGACTGTGCAGTTCTACTGCTTGCTATTGGATGCATCAGATGAACCTTGTCACTTCCATCTCCTGCAAACACCTACAGGACTCGGCTGGCCCGTCGCTGCTGCAGTCACCCTGTCTCTCTCCAGTCCTTTTTCATTGGAAAACTGGTGTCATCAGATCACTGGAAATGTCAGTTTGACAAAGCAGCTCAGAACAAAGCTGAAATGTCACTCCTGGTTTTACTGTTGGTGGTTGAATTTTGGCAGCCTTTCTTCTTCCTTGGGTTCACAGAATGTAAGGACGGGGTGATTCACGGGAGAGAACTATTTGATTTTCAACGTGTCACAGTTGCTGCTGTATTGAGTTTGATAGCTTTCATTTGATTAACACATCTTCCCAAAAGTTATGCCACCTCAATTTGATGGTTTAGGAGACAGAAAAATCCATCAGTTCTCTCTGTGAAAGTTCAGCAGAGTTCACACTCACTCTTAATGATCAAAAGCCTTTCCAGAGTACCAGGTGCAGAGTACCCTACCCTTGGGGGAGGGTGTGCCAAAGTTTGAGCCATGGTGATGTGAAGATCTTGTTCCAAGCCCCCTACCATGGGCAGGGAATCTTCCATTAGAGCAGGTTGCTCCAAACCCCATCCAACCTGGCCTTGAGAACTTCCAGGGATGGGTGTTAGCACCCACCTTTGAGTGGTAACTGCGGTTCTTGTGAATAAATCCCTTGGGGTCAATTAGAGTGAAACAACATTGAATGACCAATGTACATATATGAGGCTGGTTTGTTTTAAAACAACTTAAAAGGAAGCATACAGCTGTTTTGATTCTTTTCTGTAAAAAATATAAGTAAAACAAAGTGAAAACATAAGAGAAAGAAAGAATAATAAAAGATAGGGGAGAGGAAAAATATCACTATCCATGTAACCAATGATGAGATTTGATCAGTGCAGTTTCACTGTTTGTGGTCTGCATGACGGTCACAGTCTTCATCCATTAGTAACCCACACACAACAAAGACTTCCATGGGTTAAATGCATTCAGTTTTAGGGGAAAGGCCTGGATACCTCCCTTGGAGGGGGAGTTTACACTGTCACATGAAGCTGTGCCTTATAGGGAGGAAGGAAATTGGCATGACACCAAACATTAACCCACCTCTGCAGGATCTGCTTCTTATCTGCCTTTTCCCTTATCTGATGCAATAACACTTTGTCAAGTGGGTTATCTGGGGAACCGTAGATGCAGGGCTCAATCAATTTATCTAAGCAAACTTTGTTTTTTCCCAAGGAG